CACACACACACACACACACTATCCATGAGGAATTATTACATAGGGCATTATAAGGAGAGGGATCATTATAATAATAATAATCTTCATAGAGAAACAATAGATAATTTGCTCTAATACTGATATGACAGGTCCTTTATCATCACTCCTTGAGGAGCACACTGTTATTCTATTCATTTGTAGATGAGGAAAGTAAGGTTAACAGGGGTACCTACCATCACACAGCTCACAAATAACAGATCTGCTTGACTTTAAAATCTAACCTACCCAATGTCAAAGCTATTGCTATCAGATATATCTAATATCAGACTGACACATGTATCAAAATTAATTTTCAATGCTTGAAGTGTTTTAAATGCATATTCTTCTCATGGAAAGAATTTCACGTAAGCCTAGATCTATGCAAATTCCTAAAATTTACAGAAGTGCCCTAAATTATACAGTGTCTCATTAGATGTAATGTTCATGCAAATAATTATCACTTACCTATCAACTTACAGTATTGTTTAGTACCCAGGTCTCTAGTCGGATAGGACACCACTACGAGTAATAAAGGAAGAATCTCAGGAAGATGGTGAGAAAATAAGGCTGATTAGAGTGGCAAAGTATTTGCTTTCTTTTATCACTCACCATGTATACCTATAGACACTCATTTTTTACTCTGTGTGCATGACTGTGGGTGTGGGTTTGGGAAGGGGAACTCAGGTTGAATAATTCACAGACTGATAATTCACTGAGTTTATGTGAGTATATATGGGTATTGTGTAGTTAGGTGGAGAAATGGAATATACTAGTATGAGTATATTCACAATTAACTTTTCTAAAATGCTCTAGGTTTTCCCATTCCTTCTACAGCCTGGGTAAATATTGCTAATTGTTAAAACAGAGGTATCAATCTGTACTGTGGTAAATTAACCTATATATGAGGTTCTTAATAATTATTTTAGAATTGTTTTACATTTTAAAGCAATGATTTGGCATGTCTAAATAACATCCACTCAGGTGTTGACCTTCAGGTACATTTTTTGAGCATTACCACGTGTAGAATAACCTACCAGATTTCTTTTAAGGGATCATAATATAGGCTATAGCATTTCTGCTGATCTTGCTCTAAAACTTTATTAGCATAAAAATAGCCAAATGACCACTTATAGCAGGCACCACCTTGCTGTGTTTGGCTCCTAAAACAGCCTTCTCTTTCCGTAATAAGCTATTTGAGCTCATTTCATTTTGCTTCATTTTCTTTTTGTCACCTTTGTTGCTGTCTTGGTGTACTATAATGGAATCATGCTGAATAAGACAAGTTATAATTTTTATTGCAAGCATATCTCAAGGCAAATTTATAAGCTGAACTTGATATCAGAAATGAAGCTACAGGGAACATGCCTTTGTTCTAAGTTATAAATGCCCTCCTATTCTAAATTTAAAGTATGTTAAAAATAAACTGCTTTTTTCTGGCATTAGGAACTTTACATAGGCAATATATTGAGACATTCCTTTAAAAAAAATCTATTGTGTACAAAACAGCTTTACCAACTAAACTCTTTGTATTATAATTCAAGTTGTAAAGCTAATATTTAAGGCAATGCTATGTTACAGAAACCTGATTATATTAAAGGTCGCAACATTTGATTTCAATTGGCTTCTGTGGGAAAGTGAAGAGGCAGTGTTAATTTATTTAACAGTATTTTACTAGTAAGACTATTTAGGCAAACTAGTTATATATTTAAACATAGGTATAAAAAATGTTCACCCCTGGACTTTGATCTCAGCCCCAGCAAATTGAAGCTTTAAAGTTATAATCAGAGCAATTGCTGGAAACCCTTAAGCAACAAGTGACCAATTCTATTCTGAGAGGGTTTCTGATGAACCTAAACATGGCCTTCTCCAGTTGTCGACCTTTAAGTTCTAGAAGAACCTAAACATGGCCTTCTCCAGTTGTCGACCTTTAAGTTCTCTGTATATCTACCTGGCCTAGGCCCTTGTATTAAAAGAAATTGAACAAAGGAGGCCTGCTATTATATCCTGTGTAAATATGTTTCATTTCTTTCCCCTGCATTGCCACTTTAGAATTTCCTCCACTAAACAGTGGAGAATATGTTAAAATGTTAATGTTTTGAAATCAATTTTACCTCTACTACTTGAAACAGCTATAAATGAGAGGCAAATTGTGCTTTTGAAGCAAAATTTTCATTGCTGCATTATTACCATGGTAATTATGGTATTTCCGAGGAACAAATGCCCTGTCACTCTGGTATTAAGTTGTACCCTAGATACATGTAGCTCACTTATATTCCAGCTTTTGTCCTTCATTCTTCATTTATACTGTCTCTTTATCTTTTATAAATGATTGAATTAGTTCAGTATTTAGAGAATATTCCAGAAATGCCTTCCCTTCAAATAGTAATTTTTAAATGCATTATTTCATGCAGCAAAAAGTATAGAGCCAAAAGAAATGATCCTGTAGTTTCCACTGAGTAAATGACTTACATCAACAACATAAAACTCAATGCAGGTTTTATTTTGCTGACAGTTACCATTAGAAATTGGTACACATATTTCTCTAATAAACACATAAACACAGTTCATAATTTATTGTTTGCAGCACAATTTTATACGTGATGGCAACTGGTGACCTGCAATAGTATCCCCAATAACCTTGCCCAATGATCATTAGCAAACTTCATCTAGAAACAGACCAAAAGGTCAGAGCTATACATAACATGAGAGTCATGGCTCATGATCGTGGAACATTATGGGTATTTATTTTTGTTCAAAATACAGTATAGTGTTTCAAAGCATCTACTCCCATTCTCAGAGGTTAGTGAATCTGAAACACTCTAGCATCTAATTGTGAACAATATGTTAAAGACACATATTTGATCTTAAATGTCAGTCATTAGAGTTGCGTGCCTATACAAATTCAATGAGTACCAGTGGGGATGGTAATTGGTTCTCTAAGTTAGAAAGTGTAGAGTGGCCAGAAACTCAAATGTAAGGAAATTGACCACCTATTTAGAGATAACCTGGGAAAAGTAGATACCATCTGTAACTCAAAGATTCATTTGAAAATCATGAAACATTATTCTGTAAAAGAGAAAGCTGAAAAAATATTATGCTTTCCAGAAGCATTAAATTTATTACATTTGAATACAAATATGTCTCTCTCAGTCTCTCTCTCTCTCTCTCTCTCTCTCTTAAAATAAACAATATAGCAAAAGAAATATAGAAATGAGAGTCAGCATCCTGCAGTAGAAATAATATTGCCTTTGGAGCCAGTCAGATCTATATTTGAATCCTATCTCTATCCCTCACTGATTGTGCTACATTGAGCAAGTCCTTTATTCTCTCAACTTAAGTTTCCTCGTCTATAAAATGGGTAAAATAATTTTGAATATGAGACATTGCTGTGAGGATAAAGTATATCAGTAAGTAATGTATATAATAACCAGTCAGCAAGTAATGACTATCATAAATAATCATTTTAAGTATACATTTGACATGTTGTGTATGCAAAATATAATTATTTTATGAAAATATTTAAGCCTTGCCACCTAAAAGAACATAGGCTTAGGGCTTATACTGAATTTAAAAAAACAACAAAAAACTAAAGATATGATTATCTAGTAATCTAGTTTGTCTTTGATGGGATTGCTAGAATTGATTGATTGATTTGCAGTAAAGGTTCACCAAAAAAGCATTGCCTTATCACTAGAAATTTTCACTTATCCTTCAGTAATGATTTTGTCTTCTCATGATTTATATAAGTCCCATACATACTAACAGCAATTCTTCTTATATATCACACATTAATATTAATAAACAACAAAATAAGAAAAGTAATTTGACATCTGTATTTACATGTATTGCTCTTTGTTTCCTTTAATTTTATTTCCACTTTAAAATATTCAGTACTCTTGCTTGTGTCTCTCATCTCTCCTAATAATCAAGGACTCTTCAGGACCTTTCTAAGCAGACAGACATCCCTTACGGCACAGTCCTGGACTCTGCAGTGTATGAGCATGTGCGCATGAAGGGAATGAATCCTTTTGAAAGGGACAGCATGTATTCCCAAATGTGGAGGATGATCAACCGAAGCAATGGATCAGAGAATAACGTCCTGGAGTCCCAAGCAGGCATTCAAAAGGTACTGCCCATAGTTCTGCATTCAGAGTCTACCACGTTGTCTTCCATATTGGAATTGCTAAGTTGAGATTTGTTTGTTTCTTCCTTTAAATTTTAACTTTGACATAGAGTTTTCAGTTAAGTTATATCTTCTGGTGATTAAAGAATATTTTGAGGTGACTCGTTGTGCTAGTAGAGGGAATTCAAAGCCCTCTGCGGTGTGTCTAAAGGATTTATTTCCAATAGAATTCCAAAGGTAGAAAACATGAGCTGGTATTTTGTTCAGAACAGGGTCAGAGACTTTTATAAACGAAGACTGTGAAGGTTTTTACAGCAAATCCAATTCCAAATATCATTCAGGTTATCCAATTCTTTCAAATGACTCAGGGTATTTTTACACTGCACTTGCTTTTAGATGAAAACTTTAACTTTAGGTATGATTATGTGAAGCTATCTGTAAGTAAAAGTTAATCTTGTCAACAAAGTTCCTACAAATGTCTGTTTCTGTTTCCAAAAGTGAAATCTTTTTATCTTTATAGAGCCATCATTTAGAAGTTATTTTACAAAGAAAGGGGGCTGGGATGATCTTAGAAAGCAGTACATTATGTGAAAAATGAAGATAGTTTTTATTCTGGGCTATGGTTTATACACACATATATAGAAGTAATGTTTTCTTCCTCAGGCCACATCAACCTCCAAGTGAAAACTGAATGATTTTTGCTTAAAATTATTCCAGTGGCTAACATAGTGAAAATCATAATCATTGGTATCAATAAATAATTACAGGATGAATGAATGTCAGCAACAACAGCAATGGTGGTATACATTTTTTCTCTGTAACCTTCCACAGCAATTTAATTTGGACCTCAAGTCATAGTTCCTTGTTGAAATTCACACTCAGTAATACCATGTTGGAGAATGTTTTGCTGACTATAAAAATTATTCTACCACAGGTTCTTGCATTATTCTGTGTCTTTTCATATGTTTTTCATCTGCTACTGCTATTGCTATGGTCCTAGAGTCAGCCTACTAATTTTGGCAGTCATTACATTGATATCATTATTTTAAACACTGATGATGCTCACATAAAACTCTCTCTAAGCACTAACAATGCATTTAATGAAGTGAAAGTCCTTGAAGTATTAGCAATGGCCTGTAACTCCTTCACCTTTATTATATTTATTCCAGTTTCCCAGGAATTGATACTTAAATGTTTCTTTTTTGTTTTTCTCAAGAGGCCCATTGGCTCCTGAAGGTGCAATATGGTGTCCTCCATGTTATGGGGGGTTGGGGGAAGGTGGGGAGAGAGGGTGGGTAAATGGACCTATATGTTGTCTGGAGGATAAGGGAGGGTAGGCATTTTAGGGTTTACTTGTTATCACAGGATGTGAATGAATGTAAGCTTACTTACATTAATAAGTATACTAAATGGTTTTTGGAATAGTTATTCTCCTTCATATTGCCTACTGTTAAAAATAATTTTGTTTTCATGAGGATGAATATAAATTGAAATTCATAGTTTATATTTTTATTCCAGTTTAGAAGCCAAAGCTCGCCATACTTTACAACCTTTTTCTATACCATATCATTCCAGAGAAATTTTATTTTTTCTTCCAGCAGATTCCCAATCAAATACTTAAAATATATATATATATATATATATATATATATATATATATATATATATAGCATATTTACTCATTTATTATTTATTTATTCATCCAATATTTGCTAAGTACCAGTTAATATACCAAGTACTGATCTAGGAACTGGAGATAAACTTAAGCACAGAGAAATAATCACTGGATTCATGAAATATAGAGTCTGGTAAGAGAGACAGAAAAGAGAACTAAAATACATAATCAAAACAAAATGACAAATTAATGCTGTGAAATAAACAAATAAAGTGCTATTGTAGAAATTAAAGAAGGAAACTGCTTGAGATACAGTGATCACATAAGGGTCCCTGAGGAGATAAAAAGAGTGGAAATAGTGAGACCATAAAAGGCTCTTGTAATTTTCTGAGGTAGCCAGTCAAGTGGATACACGTAAACAAGGCCTTGTTTTATTCTTATGTTCTTATACACAACAACCCTTACATTCTTTGTATTAATGCAAAATGGGTATACCTCCTATATCCTGGTATTTCCAGAATAATATAAAATCAAAAGATATAGGATATCAATTGCTACTTAGAAGCTTTTATAGGCATACAAGTGTTAAGATACACATATATATTTCCTATGGTCTTCAGTATTGTTTAAGAAAGTCTCTCCTTTTCCAAGTATGTACATACAGTTTTCTACATTTCTTGTGTTTTTTTTATTCTTTTATTTTTTTTAGCTTTATATCTTTTAACCATGTGTAATGTAATTTGACGTTTGTGTATATGTAAAAATAAATTCTAAATATCCAGACGAGAAAATGCCAACCTTAGATTCCATTAAATAAAGGTGTTTTCAAATAGACTGTTGATAATTTTGCAGCATGTGCTGAGAAATTAAGTTTATTATTCTTTAGGATCTGCTGTTTTTGTTTTTGTTTTTTTCTTTAAATGCATAGCTATTCCATCATCTTTCAACTTGGGTTAGTGTTTCTTATGCTGTTATGAAATGTTATACATTTAAAAAAAAAATCTCCTATGAAGAGTAGAAAGAACTTTGGTCTTAGAAACAAACTATTTGGGTTTTTTTTTTCCTGATTTTTCCACTTCTTAGCTGTATAATTTGGGGTATGTCACTTGGTTTCCCTAAGACTCACTTTACCCACTTGTAGAATGATCACAGTGTGGGATTCAAAAGGCTGGACTTTGCAGGCACTTTAACCTATGTTTGAATTTAGTTCATTTTTAAAAAATAGAATGTGTAAATGTGACTAGTTAATTAAAAATCTCTGAGCCCAAGGATTTTCATCATGATGATAAAGAATTTCTACCTCATATGATTTTTAGCATTAGTTTAAAAAATAACATATGTAAAAACATCAATAAATAATGATTAGAGCCATAAATTCATAAGATGATCCTGAAAATTACCTGAGAAAATGTATGTATGAGGGATTTGTAATTACAAAGTGTTATTATTTAATATGTCCTAAGGTTAACGTAAAATTGTGACATAAAAAAGATAATGCAATAAAAAGAATAGAGAACGATTTCTGATTCCCGATGGTCTGCTGATAAAGACTTGTGAGTGTAAAACTGCAAATCAAGTCTCCCAGTATTTATTACATCACATTTATTCAGTTGTCTGATTTACTAGAGGGGTAGTGAAGAATGTCCTTATGAATTCATAATGGAAAATATCAAAGTGAAATTTGCTTATAGTACATATTTCTTTCAACCCAAATCACAGGCAGTTGAAAATTGATTAGACAGAGAATAGTTTGTAATAATAAAATGTATTTTGGTTCAGTTTCCAAGGTCTCAGCCAGCTTTAATAAAACAAAATGAACCAACCAAAAAACAAAAATCTCCTCACCTGCTAAAGCTCACTGGGAGTTCAGGAGATTGAGAACACATGAAATATAGTCGTGGATTCTTCCTTGAGTAACTAGCCTTGCACATCTCACAAAGAAGCTTCCTTTTCTCTCTTGATCTCTAATTTGTGAAGGCAAAAAAGGCCTCAGAGGTCAGTATTCTACAAAAGGCCAAACTTCTGCTTCAGTATCTTTGACAAGAATTCATACAAATGAAGACTGCATCACTGAAAAACAATCCTCATAATCTAATTATAACTTTATATAGATCTAATTAAAGTCTCCGGTTGTGCTTGTTCTTAATTCTACTACTAGTCGTATTCAGTTTCTCTTACTTCAAAGTATGATCCTGATCCTTTCTAACATCTTTATTCTGCTCTTACCGAAGAAGCAGGTATAAATGAGGATTAAGTAAATAAGTTCTGATCTGCTGTTCTTGGGAGACATTCACCTATACCAAAGTAGCCTAACTAAACTAGAACAAATTTGTTTTTGTTTTGCTCTTCCCAGGACTTTTTACATAAATAGAAAAAGTGTGATTTGAAAAATATAACTGGGTTTTTTTAATGCATTAATTCAACAATTATTTAGTGAGCACCTTCTATGTGTTAGCCAGTATTTTAGTCACTGGAGGGAACATAAATGAAAACAAAATTGCTTTCCTGGAGTTTACATTCTATTGGAGGAAGCAGACAATAAACAAGATAAATAAAGTATGTTGTATTTCAGTAGTGATAAGTGTTAAGGAGAAAAATTGGGGTGTAAACTCTGAGTGATACTATGGCCACAGGGAAGCGGGTGGTAGCAGTATTGGATTAGAAAAATAGCATCAATATGTAAGGCCATTAGTCTATTTAAGTCCCAGAGCACTATGGGAAAGGAAAACTGACAAGGTTCAGGTGGGGCATCAAGGCTCCTGCCAAGCTGCTGGGCTTCAGGGCCCAGCTCTAGTCCTAGCTGGAAAACTGGATCATTGAAATGAAAGCCACGTTAGCGACTGGTCCTATTAAATGGGCCAACTTCAAGGATTTTGGAGGATTGTGACAGGCAAATTTCAGACCCTATGCAATGATGAGGTAAGCTTACTCTTTTATTCACCTCTGGCTGAAAAACTGGGTGGATTAAACTTGCTTATTCAACACATATTCAGTGAGCTGCTGTTAATTTACCAGGCACAGTTCTAGGTTTGGGGAAGTATAACCCAAAAAGCAAAGTCCCTGCCCAAATGGATTATATTGTATTGGAAAGAAATCAAGCACATCAATGTGTGCCATAAAGAAAAATTGGAAGGGTAAAAATGAAAGGAAGCAGGAGCAGAAAGAGGGATGTTGCCATCACATATTGGATGGCCTCAAAAGGCAGCCCTGAGAAAGTGACATTTTAATAGAGACCTGAGAGAGGACAGGGTATGAGCCATACAGAGAAGAAGGAGAGGAGAGACAGGAAATGCTCCAGGCAGAAGGAACTCTCGCTGCAAAATTCTTAGAGCAGACTCTAGCTTGCCATGATGAAGAGGAATGTCAAGAAGCCCAATGTCTCTGGAGC